TTCGGAAGGGGAAGCAATATGTTATTGAATATGAAAAGTGTGACAACATTTTTTGCATAACTTAAGAAGCTATTAAAATGTAGAGGAGGGTGCTAAAACTTATTATTTTTCTGGGTAACCTATTGGTTAGTGAAGTGGATTTCTTTACTTATTTTCACTAAAACCGGGCACTGAAGTATAATCGTCGGATTTTTAAATCCCATTCAGAACCAAACTCTTTCCCCATAAAAGCAATTTCACCCATTCCCCCTAACGATACGTCCAATAAACCAAAGCAAACAAAGCATTTAAAATGCACAAAGAAAATATTGCGACACACGTCAAGGATAAGGATGGGGAATGCGATAAGTATACGCCCCCGAGTACAGGCGCACAGCACTGGCGGGGGCGTAAGGATAAGGTTGAGGCTGAGCAAAGTATACAATGTATACATTCGAGTAGGCGAGTAATACATATATTAAGTACCCCGAGGCCATTAATGACTAAGTTTGCATTGCGTCCGAGCACACACTCCGGCTGACATCAATTATTCACGGAATTTATACACGGATTTTTCCGAGCCACTGCCGGAGTCCGTCTCCGTGTCGGTTTGGGCGGGGAATATTTACTCTAGGCGCATGTCAAATTGGGCGTGATTTTCAAGTGGCTGGCTGGTACTCGTTCTCGTACTTTTGATTATGTTTGTCTATTTGTTGTGCGGCTTCTGGGGACTCATGCATTTTTGAGTTGGCCCAAGCCCAAACCCACGGCACTGGCCCGAGCTGCTGTGTTTACTTACGGTCAAGGCAATTAGGTTTTTCTGGCCCCGGGCCCAACCGGGCTGGCAATACTCAATCAGTAAGCGCCTTAGCCCCACCTGCACAGTCCCCCAACTCGTTACCAAAACGAAAAGACATGCCAGGGGAACACCCTGCGCCCAGTTCCCATCTTCCAGCTTCCAGATGCTGGGAGCTCCTTTTCTGACATTTAATTTTCGATTTTAATTGGATACTAACAGCAGGATGCTGTCCGACTATAACTACGAGCCCCGGCGAGACCCTCTGGACCGCAGCACCTGGCCAAAGACGAGGCAAAAATGGTGAATTAAAAGGTACACAACATGCCGGGCCAACAGCAACAAGGCCATGGAGAGAGGTCGGCAGTAGGGAGTCAAAGGCTGCCAGAAACTCTTGGCAAAAAGGAGTTGGCCAACATAATTGAAAAGCGCTTTTCTATTAAGAACGCGCGCCAGAGCTGCCATCTCCCAGTTAGCCTGTTTCTACGCAGAAGTCTGTGTATGCAGCTTTGTTGGTGGGTAGGATTGGACTGTGAAAAATAATATAAGGACTTTAAAAAATAAATTATAATGTCTCCTATTACAAAACCCATGCCTAGTAATATCTTCATATTTTTTCACTCTTGTAACCAATAATACTGCTATCTCTAAAACAAATCAAAAGTATTTCTTTCGATGTAAGAACCTTCGTAGCAACTCTGGTTGCGATTCACTGATTGGCGGTGCCGACTATTGACTGACTTAACACGCCATAGAGATGGTTGGGGCCTCCGAGTCCTGATGCAAATTGGCGCACCGCCACCTAGGTTTTGGACCATTAAAAAGAACAAGAACGTCAGCCAAGGGGAACTAACGGGTAATTTAAGCCCCAACGCGCATACGGGCCAATTAATAAGCCCCTTCGATGCCAGTTGGCGCTGCATCTAATTAAACCAGGAAGGGAAATTTTCAAAAATGGAGCAAGGACTGGAGTGGTTCCTTCTACTCGAGCTTAAAATTCGTAGGGTCTTAGGGCTTATTATGCCAAATAATCTTAAGTCGACATTTAGTAATTGTGTTGTGTCTAATACTATAAAATATTTTAATATCCATATATAAATGAAATATTTTTAAGCGAGACCCAATTAAAAAGTATACAACTTTCTTCAACTATAATTAAAGTCAAGCTGTTTCTTACCATTCGAAGAACCCTATATGCCCTGCAATAATTAATCGCAAGCAGGGAATATCGCACTTTTTCCAATCAATCAGACTCCATGCATGCTGCCTGGGAAAATTGGGCAATTGGGAAATGGGTATTATGAGCCGAGATTGGGGAATGAGAGTCGGAATTCGCAGGCGTGTATTGTGCTCGTTCCCAGCATCATCGGATCCGCTCGCGTACATATTGCATAATTATCGCTGATGAGGCAGAGCTATTCCCCTCCCCCAGGCGCCTCCTGGCAGGCTGTTCAGTCCCGAGGGTTGTTTGTTGACAACCCGATGTGGATGTGGTGGCTCCGTCTTAAAGCCAGTTGCCTGGCATCGCCGGCAGGGACTTTAAGGAAGTCAGGAAGGCAACGAAATAGCTTGATTGACAGTCGTTCGCAACTCGTTGAGGCTCAGCATGCCGAACGGAATTATAACTTAATTGACATATGCCGAGCACTCTCGGCTAAGTCTCACAACCCGGCACAGATCTGTCCAACTCCGTTCACACCCTTTCCCCGGGAAGGAGCTCACAATATTTGTATATTGTGTGTCTATGCGCGATGCGGGATAATATTTCCCTAAGTAGACACCAACTGACAGCGCAATTAAGGCGAAGTAATTATTTTAAGTAGGGTTACATTTGTCATTACGACGGTTTTTCAAGAGGGTACTGATGGGAGAGGTTCTCAAGAGCCAAGAACCCCTACTGATGTCATATGCTCCCTGCTTAGGCAGGAATACTTTCGAGCTTTTGAATGCCTAAGGACTTTTCAACATGGACGGGATAACATCAATGAAATAATATAAAATCGCTAGGAAATATTGAGGAAGCACCATAAATTACTTTCTATTCTCTTCCTTTAATACTTCCTTCCCCCAGTGTGCCCCCTTTTTAAGACATCGATTATCCGCAGAAGATGAAGTGAGCTGCAAGACCGAAATCATTAAATCATGAACAATTAGCCATTTATTACTTCCCCTTAATCATGCGCCATTTGCAATTAATTTAAACGCAATTTTCGTAGTCCGCACAGCGGGACCAGACAGCGGCGGACATATAAAATCTCAAGAGCCAAGAAAGCTCTTCCGGCGCCGAGTCCCGGGCTAGTCCCGGACTCCCAAAAAGATGAGAGACCGTCTTCCATGGACGCACTCACACGAACACACGACTCCGTTAAATCTTTTGCACAAACATAATTTTGAAACAGACACACGACTCGAGGAGATGAACCCTCCACACCCCCCAGCAAATGTGAACATCTTGGGAAATCTGGGCAGCAAATTGCAGGCAATCCACGCAAATGGCTTAGAACAACGGGTGGCATTAAAGCCAGCCAGTGGCTGGGGAAGGACTACTTTGCCGGGGTAAATAATTTTTCGCGCAGGCCAAAAAACTTTTTGGCCAGAACACCCCTAGCCCAATGGCGTACCAGGCATAAATCACGACAGTAAAGAGAAAAACTTGGGCGAAACTTTATCCTTATGCCTCCTCATGCCCCCAGCCCAGGACCCACCGGCGGATCTGCGAAATTTGTCTTGGCGTTTGGATTTATGTTTTTGCGACGCTTCTCGAAACAAACACGGAACGGGAAGCCCCAGAGCGAGAGACTCGCAGATATACACAGATAGACAGATACAAAGACGCCGAGGGGGATGGCAAGGCCGGGGAGCGAAGGTAAATTCAGGAAATACTGTCCTCAACAAAACAAAGCCAAAAGAATCCTCGAGTAAGGAGCACACCGGCCTACAAGTCTCTCGTTTTTTGGGGTCTCGAATGGGAGCCACCGCCATCCGCCATGATTTATGGCAGCCAAGGTAGCAAAAGTTCGGGGTGGGTGCACGGCAGCGGTACATAACTTTAAAAAAGTTTTACAGGTTTGCCAAGGATTTGCATTTGAACACACCCACACGGCATCGGGGGAGGAAGTCGCCCGGAGTGGCGGGCGGGGCAAGCAACCTCTCAAGGAGCATTTTGTTTCCACAGTCGAGTTTCCTGTTTGTTCACGGGTCCGAATTTGTCATATTTTGTCGCTGATTTCTTACCGGCTAACATTCGGTTGTAGCTTTTGGTTTGTTTTCTGATTTATCCCCCCGGGGTTGGGGCTGGTGCTTTGCAAACAAATTTGTCGTTTAAACTTGACCTTTTTTTGTTAGAAGGACCTTTGAAAACGATTTCATTAAAGGTGCCTAATGGTGTGGGTGTGTATTATTTTAAATTATTAATTAATTAATTAATGTTAAAATACTAAATAACCATTTAATAAGCGGTTATCTACAAACCTAATACAAATAAACCAAGAAGCCGATAAATATGCTACATTTTTTTGTTACAAACCTCCAGAACTTTGCTTTGTCATCGGTTTTGTTTAAGTTGACCCCTGCAAGGCCATAAAAAAGTGAAAACCCAGCAATAAAAGTAATCAAAACTCGGCTCAAATGCTGCAAGTGGCCAGCAAAGGCCATCCTGCCAGGATCTAAAGTATTGGCAACAAAGCGTTTCGCATTCATTCGAATTTCGAACAGTATCGGGCACAAGGACTCCCAGGCGACAGGCAAACTTCTGGCCAAAACCAAACTGGAGTTGGAAGGTCGAAGCTCGCGCATGGCTAACATGGGTCCGCCATTTTGCGAAGAGAGTGCGGAGAGTGGGACGTAAAATATGCGGAAGTGGAAAGTATGATGCGGAAGTCTGTATGACTGCGATTGCTAATGGATGTCGACTCAGAGCCCGGGGGCTTGGGGGCTCGGCCATGGGGATGACGGGCGGGATGAGGGCCTGGTGGATCGACTATACGGTCGAATGGATTTCAAATTTTCAAGTGGAGTCCACCCTCTGCCATTTTCCATTTTGGTCCTGAGCCGAGCAACAGGAGAAAAAGATGCAGCAACGACTGGGATTTTGAGCCACGCTCAGCTAGTTTTTCGGGTATCAAGTCCAGCGGTGTACGAAGTTAGATAAACGGATTAAGTGGCAACAATGTCGCAACAACAGGACACAGGACCCACACATAACCACAGGTCCTGTGGAACGGAGTCACCGGGCATGCCGCACGGTTGGCATTATGGTCGAGAAGAGGGCAACCAAAAGGTGGCACTGGACTATTCCAATCTTTTGCCACCTATTCGTTAGCCAAAAATCAATATTCCATTAAAAACTAGATGGTAATTCGATGTTTTAAAAAGATTCGAGGGCTTTGCTCTTAATAATCTATTGGTAAAAAAAATATTCATTGATTATTGAGTCCATCACCACTTTCTATTTAATTCATAGAATTTTTTTATTTAGTTCTGTTTTGATTTATTTTTAGTTAAAGTTTTCTTTGATTTTTTCAAGTTTAATGAAAACAATTTCCGACAAAAAAATCTTAAAGCTAATATAGTCATGAAACCAATAAAAACTACCAATCCAATAACATCCAATAAGTAGAATTGGTACCAAGCCAAGTCAACTCCATAAGCCACCAAATGTGGTGCTCCTCGATGGGTAATTACATATTCTATCCAGTAGATGGCAGTGTCCATCGCACTCAGAGGGCGATTCCGGTACACCCGTGAGGCCTCGTTCATATTGATCCTGTACTTGGGATTCTCAAGGAGCTCAATGAGAGAGGATCGCAGCTCATCTTCTGATAGACGACGGTAGTCTAGGACAAGTGCAAATCCCAAGCTTTTTCCTCTTTGAAGATTCAAAGACTGGTCGCCATAAACAGGCATGCCGAGCACTGGTACTCCATGGTAGACTGCCTCTTGGATCCCAAAAAGCCCTCCATGGGCGATAAAGACTTTTATGTTAGGATGTGCCAAGACATCTCCCTGTGGCAACCACTTGTGAACCTTCACATTGGATGGCAGCTCTGGCAATGTCTCATTCTCGAACTTCCATAAAACTCGCTGCTTTAAGCTGCTGAACACATCAAGAAATATTTTTAGCTTTTCAGGAGGTAGCTCGGCGCTTCTCACTTGGGATCCTTAAAAATTGTTTAATTTATAAATAAGTTTAAATTATTCTAAGATTCAACACTCACCCAAACTAAAGTAAATAACTCCATGGGTAGCTTCATCAAGAAACTCTTGCAGATCCTTTGGCAATCCTTTGGAAGGCTGAATGTGAAGACCTCCTACTTGAATCATGTTGAAGGACGTGGGTCTGGGAGAGGCCAATGGCAGGTAAGTGTTCAGCAAAATAGCTGAAATATTCCGTTCCAGCTCCTTGATTGTGGGAACTCTGACCAATAAATTGGAAAAGTGTTTGCGTAGGATGGCATCCTGTTCCGGGTAGTATTTAAACTCTCGATACAGATCCTCAGATCCGCTGACAAAAGCATTGCCAACGCGCTCCCAAAAAGGCATGCGATCGGTGTAGGCCATCCATTTATGGGGAACATACGACCAGGGGGACACAATGCCCACCAACTGACTCAAATAGTTGGCATACCCTGAGGTGGAAAGGGTAACAATGGGTATCTGGTACAGGTGGCCCAGGATAAGGGCTCCCTCGTTGAAGAACTGTTCCGTAAGCAGCAAGTCGTACTTTCCAACTTTGTTTTTCTCATTGATGACTGCCTGGATCTCCGGCTGCTCAAAGGCGAAGTTAGTATTGTGAATGCCCATCGTATATACCATTCGGAAAAAGTCGAATATGGGCAGGTCTGTCAGTTCCATAGCACTGCTTATTTTAGTCGTTTCTCTTACTAATTATCAAGAAAGTTCTATTTACTTAAAAGTGCTTTCAAATGTTTAGGCTACTTACTGTCACTCCAGTTATCATATGGGGCAAATAAAATCTCCTTGTAATTTGGACCCAGATCCTCTTTCCCCATTGAAACGGGCGTTACAAAAGTCACTTCGTGTCCACGTCTAACCAGCTCCCGGATAATGGCATTTGTCATCATAAAGTGACTTCTGGCCGGACAGAAAAATGCAGCCAGAATCCGAGAACCAGTTCCCAAATTGGGCAGCTGGAGACTCACCAAACTCAGCAACCAGACGTGAAAAATGTAAATAAATTTCTGTTGATAAACAAACAATTGGGTCAACAAGAAAAAAGTGTGGCGATAACACCAAAAATCATGCTCGAATAGCTGAGATTATTTAAAAGTTGATTAGGCCTTAACTTATCAGAGACCTACAGATAACAGCCAAATATTTCAGTTGCTTATTTTTAAACTTAGGTGACGAAAGTTTTTTTAATATGAATACTTTCCTTTAAATTCATATTTTTAATTTGAAAGATATTTATTTAAAATTCTTTATTTTTTCGCTGTAATCTGCACAAATTTTATTGTAAGAAATCAATAAAATATTCGACTAAAAACAACAAACCATTTTTGGAAGAGCTTGCCACAACCTCCTCCAACAAAATTGGAAAAACGACTGGTGAAAGACCTCTTTTTTGAGTTGAATGGCTATCTCACGTCTATGGAATTATTATTTAATGACGTTGAAGTTATCTTTTATTTAAAGAAAAATTCAAGAATCATTAGCAATGCATACAGGCTCTTGAGCCATATAATCGTATAAGATATACATTTATTATCTTTATTTGCTGACAATATATATTTAATTATACTTATAATAATTGTATTTAATTCAGTCTTGACTTAACCCTATTATCAAGTGATTTTATTATTAAGATTAATTTTTAATAACATTTAATTATACATTTTTATTGTTGAATGAGAGAGACTATCTTGGGCACTATTTGAAAGACTTTTACAGCATCCCCTAAACAAGTACTTTTACATATCTTATTGAGAATCCTTGTGTTGTTCGGAATTCTAAAACATTTATGGGGTTCACTACCCCAGAATGGGCTTACAGATTCGGATCTAGACCCATTTTACCTGCAGTTTAAAGCGCAGTGCCCCAGAGGACCGGCTCGGGTCCTTTCAACCTGTTCCCTTGCTTTTTATTTTGCGTTCCCACCGTTCGGGCCATGAGCCACTTGTGAGCCCTCCCCCACTCGTGTTGTGTCCTTCTGCGTTTAATCAAACACACTTCCGTTGCAAACAGCTTGAGCTGCTTCAATCAAACAACAACCACAAATATTTCAAGTGTGGCTGGTTGGAGGAATGACTGCCACTGGCCGGGCTGTCGGCTGGTGGTTCGACAAGCCCGTCTTTCTGAGACAAAACTCGTCGGCAAAGGAAATACCACAACGTTGTTGTGATCAGGTCGGTTGGTGATGAACCCTTTGCAAGGCCCTTGAGTGGAGTAGCTGCCATTGCCCATCATTGTTTCTGCATGTGGTTGGAGGAAAGTGGGTGAACAATTCCGGTTTTCAGCCAAATGATGACTAAGCCCATATTTAGGCATCGTTAGGCAGCCTTTTTGCAGTCCGTCAGTCGACAGTCGTCCGTCAGCAGTCCACTTGAAAATCACGTGGAAATATTATTCGCAAATTATGCGCCTAATTAAAAACAGCGCCTGTGGGTACAGGTTAAGGCCGAAAAACTCATTGAACCTCCAGCCGGGCCAAGTCGAGTGTCTGGCCGCGCTGACCAGACGACCGGGCAGACGAGAGTCCTCTGGCTCCATGCCACTTGTTAGCCCTTTGGCTGCAGTTCAGTCCCTGTGCCACCCACATCCACAGGCACATCCACACCACCATTCTGCACCACTCAATTATTGGAGCCCTGATTTATTGCGGAGGAAACTCCGACTCTTTTTTCCACTCGGGTTTGGGGAAAGACGAGTTATTGGTGTTCCTCTTCCTTTTTTTTTTGTTTGATGAAATCCATTCGAATGGGGGGGCGGCTGTTCATTTGCATTTCTGGGGGGCTGGGGACGGTTATTGGTGGTTGACCGCCAGGCAAAGGGATGATAGCAATTTCAAGTGCAATTTTCCATTCAGCCAGCGATATGTATCGAGGTTGTGAAGAATCGAGAGGTTCCATGAATACCTATTTCACCTTTGTGTCTGAGAGTTGGCCAAAGTTTCTGATAGAGTCTGTGCCAACTACTCAAATATTCAGATAACGTCGAGCTTTTCATCTTAATTTAAGTTGTACATAAAAATTACGTAAACAAGGTTTTAACTCAATTTCGCAGCCAGCCAATAAGCCAATAAACATAACTTGTTTACACAAAAACGTTCTCCGTGCTCCGTGCATTTTGTTCATATATTTGTTTTGTGTTTCCATTCAAATATTTGTGCAACAAATAAAATTTAAATCGTGTTTATTTGTTGCTATTTACTTTGGGGGCTTAATATAAAAACCTTTTCAAAACCCATACAACGCCGGGTGTGCGAAAAGTGTACTCCAATTTGAACCCCAAAGGGGCACTACATAATTTTACCTCGTTGACCTAAAAAAAGGATTCCAAAGTTAAATTTAAAATTTAATTAAGTCACAACTCTTTCTGGTCCCCCTTTTAAGCAGATTTTCTCGCCCTTAATCTACAAGTTAATTTCTTACAAAAATAAGCAAGTGCCTGGCATAATTGAATTTCGTGAGCAACATGTGCCGGGTCCGAGTCCCAAAACACAACTTCAAGCCAAATCCGTATTCCGATTCCAATTTCGATTCCGATCCCCCGAAATGAGGCCCAAAATACCACTTTATATAATACTGTTGACATATGTTAATCAGGCGTACGAACACGCGCCACAACGAGAGGCAGAGGCAGAGGCAGTGGCAGTGGCAGGCACTAGGTCGGCGAGAGGGGGCAAGGATAAATCCGAATCGGAACGTGTGGATGATGTTGCTGCTTCTACGGATGATGATGATGTTGCTGGCGAGCCCGGTGAGGGGGTGGTGGGGTGATGGTAATGAGGTTGCTGCGGGGCGGGTCAAAGGCATTAATTCGAATTCAATCTGCAAGGCTCAGCCCGGCGACAAAGTAAAAAGCCTATTTGAGACACACACACAGACTCAGAGAAAACCCGGCCCAGGAAGATAGAGATGCACGAGATGGACGGGGGGGTCCCGGGGCCAGGACCGCCACGGAAACAATCTGATTGGAATAAAAGCTGGCGAGTGGTGGGGGCAAAAGGACTTTTGAAACAAGGGTTGTCCTCCACTTCGACGTCTGTTGGCAGTTCGGCAGATAATTTAATTTCGGATTCGCATGAGCGATGAGATAAAGCCCACGGCCAGGAACGGAACGTGAGGGTGAATCGGACGGCGAGCATATTGATGCAATCAACTAATCTTCGCGCTTCCGTAGCCCCGGCCCAACCCCCTTACTGGCGTACTATGTCCATGGCAGTTATTCTACAGATAGCACGCATTTGATAAGCCAAAAAAAAAAAAGAATAATCATTGTCCGTCTGTCCGTCAGTTTTTTTTTGTGATTGATTTTAAATATCTAAAGCCAGATTGAAGAGTTGATGATCACTATTAGTTTTAGATATAAAGCACTGACTTTTTTCAACATAAATTATATATTATTTTCTCCCATTTGTAATGTATTTACCTCATTTGTCTCTGAGTAATTAATAAGAACGATCCGCTCCGATTTCGATCTGTTTTGTGCACTGAGGCGGCCAAAAGGGTTCTCCATTTAACGGCCCGAATTCAAACAGTTTGTGGAGTGGCAGCTTCCATTTGGTAATTTGCCAAGACAACAACAAAAGCATAAGTTTTCTACTTTGTATTTTGTCCACCAGACACTGCCCCTCATTCCCTTACTTGGCCAACATTATTATTTTCTTCTTTTTTTCTTCGTTTGCAATTAAACGCAATTGCGTTGTTGGGCAGTTGGAGTAACCGCCCTTCTGCACAAACCCCTCGGCATATATACATATACTATATATACCCCGATTTTCTGCCCGACGCGACGTCGCCATCGACAACGTCGCCTGTCGCGCTTTTAAAACAGTTTCCTGTGCGCTAAATGGCGTTTTTGTGTTGGGGCCCATCTTCTTCTCCCGATTCAGGAGCAGTTTCCTCCTGTTTTTGTTTTCCATCAGCGCGGGGAGCGGCGAAGGAAGGAGGTCGGGACATTCACTGCAGGCGGCGATAGTTTATGTCTATATGTATACCCGGCAAAAATGGCGACATTAAATGAGCAAAAACTTTTTTATATCATTTCTTTGCACTACCCGGGGGAGTCCTAGGCGGCCTGCACTTAAAGAAACCCCTTTTTATTAAATAAAGTATCTCAAAAGCAGACTTAGGGATGACAAAAATATAAAATACACAAATCCAAATTTTTATAAAGACTTATTAAGCTTAATCCAATTTTTTGGAACTATTTCTCATTGCCATTTTTTCCAATGCACTTCTGGGTGCATTTCTTAAACAATTAAAACTTTGCTCGTCTACCTACAAAGTTGCCAATTTGGATAACCTCTAAACCAGAACCAATGACAGCATGGCCAAAAGAGGAGTGACTGGGAGCAAGAGGCCAGGGGCATGGTAGTCGAATGAAAAGCGACAAGAAAAACCAAGCCAACGAACGAGCGACAATGAAAATGAAAAACTTTAGCGCAGAGCAGTCAAAACCAATTTGGAGAATTTAATTAAAATTGCAAAACTTTGGCAACTGATTAAATTTTCCAACAAGAGACACAGAGATACGCGCGGGGACAGGTAAAAAGCTTAAAACAACCAAACCAAACAGAACAAAAAATTATAATAAAGACGACACGACAAGTTTAAATTTTTAAACCAAGCCCCCCAAAAGGCAATCCTGAAAAAAATCTACATTCGCTTTCGTTTGCAGGGAAAATGTTCCATTCCAGGAATAAAATAACATCAAATATACATACATATATACGCTGATGTTTGTGGGTATACGCCAGTGTGTGCATAAAATATGGCAGCCGAGGCGAGGCAGGACGAGGATTTAAGCCAGCCCAAAAACAGAAGGACACCAGTCCTGGGATCTGGCTCTGGCCGACTCTGGCAATGGCAGCCATCATCATCATCATCATGGTCGTCAGCAGCAGGAGCAGCAACAGCAGTGGCAGCAGGAGAATCATCACCAGAGGGACCAGCAAGCGGCAGACGACTACGAGGAGGACGACGACGACGACTGGCAAAGTTTCCCCAATTTAATTTCATCATACTCCCGGGTGTGCGTTGAACTAACGAATGAAACGAAGGCCCCGCCAACGGAATGGGGACGAAAACACGGAGGGCAGACATCCATCGCCCAGCAATCACGTAGACGAAGCTGGTCCTCTTTTACCCACCATGCCCCTCATCTCATCTGGGGGTGGCTCTCCAATCGCCGGGATGGCCATGGCGTTCGGTTGAGTGGGTTTTTATACCAGCGACTGAGGTCGGAGGACTGAGGACCGAAGACCGTGGATTGAGGGATTGAGTTGGGCGGGACTCTGTTATTTTAATGAAAATTGAAAAGTGCCGGGTGCTCCCCACTCGACTTGGCCCCAGTTCCTGCTCCAGTTCCATTCCCGTGGACAGCGCATTAATTTCAAGATGTCTTAGTGGGCACTTCATGAATATTGGTTATTCCTTTGCTGTCCGGTTTTTGTGATAAATTAGGCTTAAAGTTGTTTTGAGTCTAAAATTATTCCTTTTTTTTTGGGGGATGTATAGTGTGGGCATTTATTTCAATATTAAAACCAAAGTTTATGGGGGAGATTATGTTACAAATAGGGCTAAGCAATTTAAGGTCGAACCTGTTACTAGTTGTTAGATATTGCAAAAATAAGTTATCAGATAATACCTATTTTAACAAGAAGCTTATTTTCCAACAAATAAATATTTTCCATCCCACAATACTACAATTTTTTAAAATTATAATAATTATAAATCATTATCTTGGAAATGAATTGATGTAATCAGAAACCCTATCTATGTAAGCCCGTAACCTTCAATCTCCGGCTTATGATGCCCGTATTTTATTGTCAACCACAGAACAAGGATCCGGATGACACCCAAATCTGGCGAACAGGGTCCAGGGCCAAGCTAATTAGCACCCATAAAACGCACATAAATACGCGCAGGCCAATAAATTATAGATTATGACTTTGGTGCCACCCCCACAGCCATGTTTTGGCCACAGAATCGCTCCAGCCCGCTCAAGTCAAACCGCAGCCAGACCCAGACAGACAGGCAACAGTTTCATAAAATTTCCAGTCGAGTGCGCAGAATCTCAATCATTACTTAGGGGAATGGGAACTCGAATCAGACTTAAGGCGGATGCATGGAACAGTGCGATGACTTCCGGTATTAACTAATTTTTTGCGCCTTTTCCCCCACGAACATCTTTAAAGCCACGCCAAGGTTGTGCAAAAAAAAAAAAAGGAGGAAATAATCCCATACTTCCATACACGATGCTATCCTATCCCTGGAGTAGCCGAGTAAGTGGGATTGGAGTTGGAGGTCCGGGGTTTGGGGTGAACTAATCCCTAGCACTCGTGATGCCTTTGGCAAATACTTTGCACCGCCGACTGCGCGACGAATTGGAAGCAATCCGCTGTCTGTCTGCACACAGACTCCACTTGCCGCCCACTCCACTTGGGTGGTGCCACCCCTGGTGGTAGTGGTGGTGCGGCTGCATGGGCGGTGCTCCTGGCTGGGGGTTGCTCGCAAAAAGTGGAAAAGGCGGAAAAAAAAATCTTAAACAAAGTATCGGGCCACGGCAGCCAAGCGCAAAGTGAAACGAACCAGAGCCGGAGTTGGGCCTGAAGCCGGA